CGTTTTCGATTATGGACATGGTCAAAGATTTACAATTGTATGTCGACTCGTTACGTATTCTCGGTAAAAGGCTGGTCATCCAGAGGAATGCGGATGTCTCATTTTGCTTCAATGGGGTGGCATTTGGTCGGCGAAACTTCATATCTCCAAAGATTCAGGCATTTCTGCGGAGTTTGGCGGAAACTGGTATCCAGGCTCGGTTCAATTACCTTGAAGAAGCAAACAAGAAATTGAAATTTATCAAGAAATTAGGGAAAGAAATTTATTCCAGGTTTATTCTGAAATTGAATTCTAATTTTAAGGGGGTGACGGGGTTTCGCGAAATCTTTACAGAAAATGAAGACGAGGAGGCTGCAGGATCTTTGTGGTACGTGTTAGCTTTATGTTCCGTTGTGGTAACACTGGCCACGGTTATATTCATTTGGGAATTGGGATATGCAAAGGTACAGAAAGGAAAGAAAGAAAGAATTAATAGTATTGTAGGTCGGGTGCAAACAAGCAATATCTGGATGCGTGACAACGGTTTAATTTAACTCGGAACGTAATCTACGAACCACATATCACAGTAGGATGTGTATATGCACTAAGGATTAAATAATTTGCCAGATATAATTTCGAAATGACTGTAGAAGGTTAAAATTCAAAACTGCACTCCCCATTAAAAATTCAGTATAAATATGTTCGAACGCTTTTGATCCTGTCGATAACCTAACCAAACTGGTAATAAGCATGCACCTGCAAGCACTATATTTGAAATGTATGTGTATGAAAGACAGCGAACTATTGCATAATGGACATGTTTTATCAAAAAATTAATGTAGAATTTCACAACACGATAGAATGTTTCGTAATCTTTAATATAATAAGTTCCTAGCTACATACATACATATATCCATAAATAATTCTCTATTGTACAAAATGGTTTTGTCGAAGATTTCATTGTCCAACAAGAACATGAAGAAGTACTAAAAAATGAATAAATGCGTTTGTCACCCTTCAAATTCTGAATCTTTATCTAAATTATATTTATAACTTTTTTTCTTTCGTGTCGTAACTACGAGGCAATAAAGTTGTACAATGCATGCAAATTTATATACCTAAATAATTAGTATATCCAAGTGGGGTATCCAATAATATACCCGGTGGTTGAGCAGGTGAAAATTGACACTTTTCAGAATCTCCTCGTCGCCTTTCAGCTGTATGTGGCATGCATACTCGTTATGGGTGCGAGTTTCGTGGTAGAATTTGTTCCCATGGCGCTAAGTAAAGTTAATTTTTGTAATCGTAATTATGTAATGCCGAGTTCAGAGAGTATAATTTTTTAACTTAGGTATATGTAATTGTGAAAACTTATCACGTAATTAAAGTTATTTTATATTTACTTGAGCAACTATTTATATCGATATCGATATGTTATCGATTTGGTATCGATTTATTATCTAACAGATAAAAAACTTGCAATTAAATAACCTCTTAATTCTGATTCTGATAGGATCGTCTGTGTGGATAACTAAGAATAGACTAACGAAATTAAATTACTATTTATCAGCAAAATCTCAATTTGGTCAAAACCGATTCAACGAATTATAGGTAGCATTGACCAATGAGTAATTGTCTTATTTGACGTACAATTAAGACATTGTCCAAAAAAGGAGGAAGTGGCGTATCAGAGTTTTCATAAAAGTTTTCATAAATATTTGTAATTGACGCTTGGAAAATAAAATCAGTTAAACAATTTTCAATAGTGAAACTTGTTAAAAATTAAGCCATAATTAGCCCTACTTATAGCCCAAAAATAGGCAACCAGTTTGCAAACGTGTGCACAATACATTCCACGCCCGGCACTAAATTTTGATTACGCTAGGCAGATTATCTAGATACATTAATGTTTCTAATTAACAACGTAATCGGCACAGTTTCGGACGAAAGTTAACATAACTTTTCCCATGAAATATACACATTTAGCACAGTCTAACACCTCGTCGGATACTACATATGTATTTTGTCACCATTTTAGGCGAATGTAATCTCAAAAATGTATCAAGAAGAATTTCTCTCCCTTTTAAATTTCCACGTCAGAATATGTCAACGGCTGAAGTGCATCCCATTTGAATTTGACATAAATTCTAAAAGCTTTGTTAAAACGAAATCTACTCGTATAATTCGCATCTTCAAATTGCAATGCACACTGACCGTGATTTATTGCACTGCACTGTTCCTGAATCTTTGTTTCGGTCCGTTAACCAGATCCGGTAGATTGCAAGGATTCGCGATATTTATTGCTTGCCTAGCAGCGTCTATTCCAAGATGGAATTATTCCATCGATATCGCTCCGATTCAAATAATAAATTCCTTCCTGGATTTCGAAGCAAGAGTTATGTCGGGTAAGAAGACTTATGGACTATTCTAAAGCCAACATTTCTGGGCACCATATCATATCTTATGCATCATTATCATCCACAGATCGTCCAAACCTTCCGCTCACCGGGGGAACAAGGGCAATGAAAACGTTCATCTATTTTATTGAGCTGGGCACGTTCGCATATCCAATTCTCATCTTTCTTTTGTTACGATTTCTACCCTGCACGCCGCCCTTCCTCTTATCCATTGTAGCAACGTGTGAAAGCTCAGGTGGCGCAGAAATGCCCCTTAGCTACGTAAAAACGCTTGCGGTTCAAATCTTCGAAACTTGGATGTTCTACCATATCACGTATTCTGGAACTACGTGGGTTCTGTACGTCCTCTTCGTCGGAATAGCTTTTCTTCTGCATTACTTTCAACTTCTTAAAAGGTGATTAAAGTTAAAACGATAGATTAGTAAGTTAAATAGCGAACTGAGTAATAATACAAAAAGTCAATGTCGCAATTTCTGACGGTTAAATTTCATACATTTAAAAGAATGAAACGATTCGAAACGAACTGATCTTTAATTCAATAGCATTTAAGTACGAATATTTTTCAAAGTATGTATGTGATTTTTGACTCAAACGTTAAATACATATTAACTGACAATAATTTATTAATTCAGAGAAATTGAGAATGGAAGCGATGTAACTGCCTGCATCCGATTGTACTGCTATATTCAAATCTTGGAAAAATCGTTCAACGCTTTCGTTACGGTTGCGCTCGTTCCTATGATAATATCCTGCCTGCCAGCAATTCAAATATCGGCGCTCTACGTATGCATCACGTTGCATGGAGAAATTTCATTCCCTGGATTCGCAATATACCCCATGTTTGTACTTATCGCAGCGATAAACAACATACTTGTTATAACGCTGGCTTCCTCCGTAAATATTTCGTCGAAACAGGTACTACATGAATTAACACAGAGAATCGTTGGTTGCCAAGGTGGGAGAAAGGCTTTGTTAATGAGGAAAGTCAAAGCCTGTGGCGTTCTCAAGATCAAATTCAGCTCAAACTACATTGACAGGGGAACACCGTTGGTTATGCAGAATTTCTGTATTAACCAAACCGTGTCCCTTTGTCTGGTGAAGGCGAGGAAATTCACTTAGAAACTTGACTTAGAGACATGGAAGTTGACCTTGATCTTGACCTGGTAATCAGAAGTCGAGATATGTAGCAATGCATTTGGTAAGATGAGTTGAAATATGTAATACGTACGCAGATAATATTTACTTACATAAAAAGATACTATCTGAAATGTATTTCATTGCAGTGTTTATGTTCGCTGGGTAGAACGGATAAAATAATAATAGATATTTATTAAAAAGCTCGTCGCAGGAGCGGTCAATGCTGCTGAGTTTAGATAGTTTGATTCTACACGTTTTAGAAATATATTCCAACAATACATATCAATAAATAGAGAATGATGTCGTACGGAATTTATACTCAGAATACATAAAACAGAGCTTTAAATTTGTCATATTTAATCCAATAATCCAATTTTATCATGTCTATTTAAATTATCAAATTAATCCATAAAATACTTAATGGTGATAAGGTTTTTTTGCAAACGTGTGAACTTTGCTCTTATTGTTAACTAGCGTAAAAGCCCGTCTCACGGCCGGCGAAGGGCTTATTTGATTTTCGTGAAAATTAAGTGGTATTGTTCATAACTCCACCGAATTATTTTAGTATTTTATATATACAACATTTCCGGCTTATAATACAGATGATGCGAACTCGTAATGAATACTTATGTACATACAGCAATAACCAAGCAACAAGTAACGATTTTTTTCAGGAGAAGAATAGGACCAAACTTTGGTCCTATTCTATACTTTGGTCACCCAATATAGACTGGGGGTGGGGGTCGTCTTCATCCTCAGGACGGAAATTTAAATCCGCTCCGCCAAAAGAGTAGACAAAAATGTAAATAAATAAATAGATATGAAAGTATTACAAAAACATATGCAGAAAACATCGCATTTTTAATATCTAAGCAAGTGCTGTATTAATGCGGTGTTCCTATAACTTACACTCTTAGAAATCCAGTATTAAAATAATATGTACCAGGCAGTATTCATATATTTATGAATCTACCAACGTGGTATTAATAAATAATACCGTGTGGTAACAACCCGGTATTAAAGTTTTACAATATTGGTATCAAATTTTGACGGACCGGTATAATTTTAATACCAAGTGGTAGCAAATTTAATACGGGGGAAATCAATACCTGCCCGACTATACCAGATTTCTAGCCGTGTACAAATCTAAGCGTAATACATATGTAAATGTAAGTGTTACAAATATCTACAAGTGTAAGTCGACATACAAATATCTATGTACTTAAGGAAAATAGTCACAAATTTACGAAACATTTGACAGTCTCGACGTAATACGCATAGAATCAGAACGGATTACATCGGAGAAAAACAGGTAAACATTTCAGTTCCATGAATAAATACCCATATGCTTCGTTTTTGCTCGCGGTTATCAGCACTGCTAAATTATTTATTTCCGATAAGATAACTCAGCAATACACATGCGTACATAATAATTCAAAACATCCTGTCCTGACCATAACAGGATTATCTGGTTGTGCCATTCCGTTCCTCACTTATACGTTTCCAGCTCAAAGTTTTTGCCTGATTCACAATCCAAACCTCCAAAGTGCAAAAACTCCACAAAAAATTACGAATAATTAATCCTCAACATGGAAACAAAAATAATTCTCCAAGTAATTCTGATCCTAGTCCAATTACTCGCATGGGTAAGAAATTTCTGATAAAAATTCCTCAATTCCGTTACATGAAAGTAATTATTTTTCTGTCGGATTTCAGTCTATGAACATCGCTGCATTGGTCATGTATCGAAAAGGAGACGAGGGTTTCTTTATGGGTGCTTCCTACAATAAAAATCATGACGCCGAATCCTACGTTTCCTGAGTATTCATTGGTTTCATAGCGCTAAATAAAGCCCAACTAATTTCTCGCGTGATCAATTATTGTACGGATCGGGGCAAATTTTATAAACTGATTCCACTCATAAGTACTTCAACATTTTGCATTTGCATAATTTATTAAAATTCCTCAACTTTAAATGCTTTGAATTTGTTTAAAATAATGTTACGCATTTGGAAAGCAAATGTATTATTATTTCTGAATTAAGTATACTAAACAAAATCCAGACTAATCCTAAGCTTTACACTTTCTCAATTTAATGCTAATATGGATTCACATACATAATTTAGTTTAAATAATGGCGAATTTATTTAGAGTGCACTTATATTTCAAAGTGGTAACAATATTTCTAAAAGTGTATTTACACTGCTATAAATCTGGAATAGTCAGGCAGGCACTGAATTCTTGGGATTAAAGTTGCTATCGCTTTATAGGTGATAGGAGTGTAGGGACAGTCCATTAATTAGGTAACGCAAAAATCACGTTTTACAGATCCCCCTGACCCCCAACATATTTAACATAGGCACGATATCATTAGAGCCAAAGTCCCCCACTTCACTCCTCTCGCGTTCCGAAATTTATGGACGGCCCCTTATAAATTTGCTACAAGTTTCATTTGTTTAAAAGTTTAATACCAAGCTATTACTATGCGGTCGGTAATACCGACTCGGTATTACTTCTTCATTCCAGTTGGGTAGAGTTACATAAGTATGAATACCGTGTAGTATTATTTTAATACCGAATTTCTAAGAATGTATACATACTTTTGCAGGAACTTATTATGTTGGTGTGCGGTGGGTTCGCATGGATGTTTGCTGGTTCCATCATAATAAATTTTTGGGAGGCTTTCATCCCTTACAACCAATTCACGAATTCTAATCCTTCCGCCATGGGTGTGACCATGGGGAAAATCAGTTTTGTTATAGGAATGATTTACTTGCTTCAATTGATCTTTATCATTGTGATACACGTTTTGGATCGAAAAAATGGGCGGAATGGGGACAATAGAGTAGCACAGCCGGCACAGGACAAACAGGAGTGTCGCGTCGTCCCTTCACAGACTTGAGAAGTATTCAATTTAAAAAATGGGATTCAAACCACTTATATATTTTGTGGACATTTATATAAATAAATTAGTTTTATAATAGGCGCGCGTTTAATTGCATATACATAAATTCAATAAAATGAGTGAATAAAAAATGATATATTATACTATTTTGTGTAGACAAAAATTTCTGGTTTTTGTCCGAAAATTTTTATTGCGATGAAAATTGTAAAATTGTACTTATTCCGATTTAAACAGTAATACATTTTTCTAATTTTGTATTTTTCACGGTTCCTTTTCCTACATGAATCCACTAATGAAGATTTAAGTTACAGAACTAAATAAATAATAAGCAAATAAACGTCATAGATATTAATTATCCTGCTAGCATGGCACGTCGAGTAGCGAAAAGCTTTCGACGCTTATAAGCAAAACTAAAAAAATAAAATTTTCAAAATCTACAAAATATGATTTTGTGCAGCATATTTTTACAACATCGGAAGCCAATAATTTGCACATTTACATGAACAACGGCTACGTACTTACGGTAAAAAAATCAAAAATACTGACATTGAATCTGCATTTGGAATAAAATAAGAACTTGATACATCTGTATTTATGGTTTCATTTTACACGAAAGTATTTCAGATTCGAATTTGATATAAATATACTGGTTGACCTATCCTTCTTGACTTTTCATATTGAATGATACATAAATATACTGATATACTGAAAAAAGTTAATGAGATTATTATTTTAAATATAACCAGAAATGATTTCATGTTCTAATCTGACACGATTTTCAGGAGATATATCTAGCCCTTTTGCAGTCTAGTACCAGAATTGGATGGCTTAAGTCATAACTTTCATCTGGAAATACGAATAAACAAATGTAACAATGTAAGTATTTAAAATAGTATTACACACATTCATTGTTTGCTTACCGATATCTTCGCATTGGGGAAAATGTCCAACAATCGGATGTAAAGGCCATTTCGAGCCAATTCAGTTTTTTGATAACGCCAAAAGTTGATACCAACCTTTTTCACCGACTTGACGACCTGATGTGAGTGATCTTCTGGAGGAAGAAATGAAGCAACAATGGAGAAATCGTAGTTGTGAAACTGCAATTTTTCGAATACTGGGAAGCACACTTGATAATTAATCCGTCCAAAGTTTCCTGATCCTGGACTACTTTCAAACTCAATTTTTTTGAACATTCCAATGCCATAAATCCCGAAGCTTTTCATAGCCGGAAAAACTGGGAGTTTGAAATCCATTGCTGTGCGCTTTTGTGACGAAAAATTCATAGAAAGATCTTCGAGTGTGAGAGAATGTTTATGTAATAATTCGTAAATAATTTTTGGCAGGTCGTCTAGGCGTGGGTCGACACCACGAATGGCGGACCAAAACTTCAGTTTTTTCAACGGTGAAGGAATTTTGAGGAGACATTCCATCCCGTCGGTATCCAAGTGCTTTCCCAACACCAAGGAATTAAGTGATCTATAAAGTAGTTAACAATTATTGTTTGTTCAAAGTTATTGTTTATGTAGTAAAGGCCTCATTTTTAAATGTCAAATAGTTGCTGATTTTCGTCGAAAACAAAATTTCACGAATATTAAAATTTTGTTTTAGACGAATAAAAATTAAGTTTTCTTTATTAAATCTTAGTATAAGGTGTATCGCAGAGTATGTGTAAAAAAAATATGTATCACAAAAAGTATCGAAAAATCTGACTACTCAGCAGTCGCACAAATAAGTCCCTAAACTTAAAAAAACGCAGAAAATCGCAGAAGAAGTCCGTAAGAATGGGAGAGAGATAGCGGACTACAAATAGTACACTTCCTCCAGTTCCTTTCCTGGAGGAAGAGTACCCAGAATCGAAGCAACGTTCCCACGTTGCGCGGCGAGGGAAACCCGCTGGCGCAAAAAGTTCACGGCGTTGGCCTGCCCAGTTGTGGCGGCGATCCGCTGACCAACTTGGAGGATGAAGGCAAGTCCTTCCTGCCCCCATACTCCTGTGGTCTCCATGGCAACGGGGACAAAGATGTATCGGTCCATGAGGAAAGCGTACCTCTTCCTCTTCCGGTCCTCTGCCTTGCTGGCGGCAGCGCCCTGATGGCGCACGGTGTCGGGGAGGTAGCTGGGGGCAAATGTGTCCGCGCAGGTGAAGTCCCACACAAGGGACCTCCCCCGAGACCAAGGGACAAGGGTCAACCCGTCGGGGCGCTTGCCGTCCGTGGTGGAGCACCCCGCGGGCTCCCTGATGCAGGGTACTTCGGCAGACCGGAGGGCTCTGGCGATGACGTCGTTGGCGGCCTCATGGCGGGACCAACGACCCTTACTTCGGCGGCACGAGAGGCCGTGGTAGCCTCGGGAGGTGACCTGCGCCCCGCACGGGCACTTGTGGGGCTCGCAGATATCGCAGCCGAGGCGGAGTGCGATGGCGACACGAAAGGTCTCATTTGGGAGAAGAGTGCCCAGTTGTGGAGAGGGGAGGGCGTTGAGCCACACCACCGCAAATTTGTCACGGAGGGAGCGTAGGCGGGCAGTATCCTCCGGGATAACTGCCAAATCGGCGAGTTTGGACAAAGTGTTGTCCAATATGGGGCGTTCCCAAGCTGCCTGGATCCCCCTCACGGTCTCAGGTGGGAGGTCGGTGAGGCCCAGGTCGGTCCACCGCTGCACCCCCTCTGCCATGGCGATGTCGGTGCCATGGAGGTGGTCCGGAAGGAGACGTTCTACGTGGGGCAGGACGCTGTGGACCGACGCTAAAAAGCACGGTATCGCCACATCCACAGCGTGCCTGACCCCCAGGCCGCCTTCCTTCACGGGGAGGGAGGACTGCATCCATGCAGCCTCCGAGAGAGTACAGTTGAGGATCCCCTCCAGGGCGTCCTTTAGCGTGGCGTCGTAGTGGACGAGGGCGTCCAACTTTCTTCACGATGGTGCGCAACGGAGAAAGTAAATCAGCCGGAGGATGGAGATAGACGCCCTCAGGAGGAAAAAGGCCGAATGCGCCGAAAGGTTGAGGAGTCTATGGGAGAAGGTGGCCAATTGTTGGGTCTTCGTGGCCAAGACCACTCCCAACGCCTCGTTAGTAAGGGGGGCGCCCAGCAGCATCGCAGAATCGGGGGACATGAGCTGGATTCCGGGGGCAACTTGCTGAAATTGGAGCAGGATGTCGATGGCGGTGTCCCGCTCCGCCCCCAGGATCCCCACTTCACACTTGTCGTGGTTGAGGTGAAGGCCCACCTCACCACTCATCCTAGCAATGGTTGCCAGGGCCGTCAGGACCTTCTCCGGTGTGTCCCCGATGGCCCCATCGTCGAGGTACCATAAGTTTAACTCGGTTTCCATTGCTTCGACGATGGGGTGGATTACGAGGGAGAAGAGGGCGGGGCCTAAGGGGTCGCCCTGATGGCACCCAAGGAGGGAGGGGATGGGAATTGTCCCATAAAAAAGCGACGATGGGTTTTCGTAGCATTGCGCTACAAATGGGAAGATTGAGTGGAAGAGGTCGCGGACGGCGTGGAGTAGCGTGTCCCGCCGTATTTCGTTGAAGGCGTTCCTGAAGTCAATTTTCAGGAACGCTTTGGGGGAAGTGTGGGTGTGGCCGTAGTAGATTCGGGCGGCGTGGGCGCCGATTTCCGCTCCTCCCTTGATCCCCACCCCCAATTGGTGGGGGGAAAAATGTTTGATTAATTGGGGAGTAATTCTCCCCACGACGATCTTCGCGGCCAAGCGCCGCCACTCATTCCCCACGGCGATGGGACGGATCCCGCCCGACTTCTTCTTTAACGCCGTGAGGGAGGCTCCGCAAAAAAGGGGGCAAAAAGTTGGCGGGACTCCCCCGGAAAGGACCTTGTAGAGGAAGGTCCGCATTGCTTCGGCGAGTTGGTCGCCCCCCTCTCCTTGACTGCACCCCAGGAGATCCTTCAAGATCTGGGGTCTCATCCCGTCCAGTCCCCCCGCGGACCCTGGCGGAAAAGAGGAAATAGCCCGGAGCAGCTCTTCATCCAAAACCGGGGCAATGGCAGGATCCTCAAGTGGTGGAGGAAAGTTGACTGGTTGTGGGTGGGCTGGGTGTTTTGTGAGAAGGGCAGAAAGGGTGTGGTCGTCGGACGGAGCAATGGTGTCGTCGGAGCATGCGAGGCGGATTGCTCCCCGAATGTCACCGTCTGCCAGCTTGGCCTCCACCTTTTTCGCCGTCATGTCGAGTGGGGGTTTTTTAGAGGGTGGGCGTGGTGGGAGGGGCCGAGGGATTGAGAAGCCACCCACCCACCCCGCAGTATGATCCTTGACCCAGGTTGTCAAGTTCTTGATGCGATCTGACTTCTGTGGGACTGGGAGTGTTGCATAGGGAAAGAGGAGCAACTTTCCCCAGCTTTCTTCGTCGTCCGATTCCGTCACTTGCTGCAGAATTGTGGCGAGGCACTGCGCCACAGACCTTCTTGCGCCGCGGGGGACTCTTCGCAAAGTGGGCGTGGTGGTCTTGAGGCGGGCGAGAATTTCTCCCCAATCGTCGCGTTGTTGTTGTTGTTGAGGTGAAGGTGGAGGTGCATCCACCCACTGGATACCCTCAAATCAGTTGTGGAGGCCACCCCTGGCTCCAACGCGACGGGTGATGGTGTCAGGGAAAAACTGTTTTATGTATTTCCCAATGGTGGACTCCGAGACTCCGCCCTCCCCGCTCTGGGCGACGTAAACAGCGTAGCGGGCGAAGACGTCCGCTTTCTTCAGGCGGATAGGAGGGTGATTGTTGGGGTCGACAACAACAAAAGAATTACGAACCCAGTCCTGGGCGGAAGAAATGGTGTCTTTTTTGGTAACACCAGGGGACGTGGGGGAAACGGATGATCGGCAAGGTCGGGGGACAATGAGTGACGTGTCGGAAAGAGAAGGGGGATCAGCGCCACAAATCGTGGCTGACGTCGCCCCGACACTCGAGGAAGGCTCATCTCCGCCTGATCCGATGGCAGAGAGGGGGGTTTCGATGATGGATTTGCGGGGTCGGCCGCGGGGGCGAGGTGTGGAGACGTCCCGCGGGGGTTGCGACGAGGGGGGATCGGCGTTTCCTTGCGGTGTGGACATTGTCTGTGTGGGGCCTTGAGCGCGCAGAGAGACCAATTAGTCCCACCCAAGGAAACAAAAAGAA